AGGGGAAATTTATAGAAACGTTATAGTACAGATAAAATCCGTACCAGTAATTCCATGTTTTCGTACCGTTTACCGACAAAAAATCACCGCTTTATGTAAATACCTCGTGCAACGTTCTGTCAAATAGAAGGTGTCGACTGATTGCTGTATAGATGAAGTCCGGTTTTTTTTTCATAGGTAGCGAAATCTAAATCAATCGTTACACAACGTAGTGTAGTTTTTATAGTACTGGCCGTTCGCGTGCCTTCTAATGGCTTCCGCATGAGACAACATACATAATAATATAACTGCGTTAACATGTAATTATCGTAATCGATTGGCCAGATGCAAAAAAATTCAACTAGCAGACGCCTTGCTACTCGTGCAAAGGTATGTATCTTCACAATCAGTTCTCGGTGCGCTATTAGTAACAAAATTAAAAAAAAAAAACCAACGTTTGATCACGATGAAACCCAATTATGTGCGTTTTTTTTTTCGTCGTGACTCTTAATCCGTACGCCGTATGACTGTCGGTTTGTGTGTAGGTTTTTCAAGCAATAAATTTCACTGGACCCGCAACATCGATGGCGCCAGTGTTCAGAAATTTACTGACGTTGCACACAGATGCGGCAATCGGCTTTGCGCTATAACGAAACACAACTTAATCACTATCATCGTAGATTATAACGTGAATGTGAATTATTAAGATAAACCATGTTTAACCATACAATAATAGTAGTAAAAAAGTATAGCGCTGTACGACAACAACAACAACAACAACAATATTTATTAGCATAATTCAAACGAGATCCAATACATTATCCGACATCGACTGGCAACAGCTGCGAGATTTTTACAAGTTTTTACGTGCACCGAGTTCAATCATGTCGATAATTAAAATGCATTTCATATCAGCAGTCATTCGCACTGAAGAGTACTATGAAATGATTGAAAGACAATAATTAACCGATAACGAGTGACCGGTCGTGGAGCGACGGACACCGTATTTTGTTTTGCGCTGTTACTTCCGTTCTGTGGTCCTCCGACCTAATTCCCGCACCCCTCCCCACGTATAACTAGTTTTTGACATCTTACTCGATGCCAACGGGTTCAATAATCCTAAATCTCTGAATAATAAGTGTAAAAAAATACATTTGCTTGTGCACTTTTAAAAATAATAAAGGGCGATATGTATAATAAACAGCTGCTTTTTTACTAAAACCTTTAATATTATATGGTACCCTGATAAGCAATTTCACTGTAGTAGCCATCTGGGCGTAAACAATTCTCTAATAGGGTGATTAGTTTTTCGAATATTTCATAAGCACGATTGAACACAATTACTTTATTTTACGCTTAATGGGTCCAATCTCGAAAACTGACTTTTCTTTATTGTTCAATAACTCTCTTAAAATGACATGAAAGTCGACAGATCGTGATGATTTTCAATACAAATCATTTTTTTTTTTTTTTTTGAAAAACCTAACGTTATATTGCCCAAGTCATATTACTAAAATTACATTTTATCACTGAACTGTAGAAAAAATATTAAAATATCCGAATGTATTTTAAACGAAGGAGAAATTAATTAGTTTTCTGTAATGGTGTGCCACCGAACCAAATGTCCTGTTCAATGATGAATCGACAGACCAACTGAATTAAAATGCATTTTAATAGTAAATTATGACATTAGTGCCATTAATGTGTTTTAAGCTTTTTTAATTGTTTTCTGTTGAACTGAAACGATTTTATACGGATTTCTCTGCAAGATAATTTCCAATTTCACAGTTGTTATGCGTGCAAATCCAAACGGATTATGGGAACAATTTAAAAAGTAACTGTTGACTGTTAATAACATCTCGCTTCGGGTATTACGAAGGGTAAAATAATCCCATTGTCTTTAGTACTAGAAAATTCAATTATTTACAGCAACCGGTGTATCTACTACGGTCAGTGCATGTAGATGGTCCGACGATAATAACTCAATTCGGATTAAGTGGAACGCGTGCGGCAACGGCCGATAAAAAACCCACCGTCCGGTCAAACCGTTCGGCAAGTGACACCCCACTCCTGTACACACGACGCACATCGGACAAATTTCAACTGATAATAAATTTTCCAACAGCCAAATTGTTACCAGTGTGCGATCCGTGACGAATAGGCGGCGTTTGGTCTGTTGGAAATTACCGGGGGGCAGGTGCACCGCCGAACATTTGTCGGCGAAAAAACGTCGTTTGTCGACCGGCGACACCCAACAGCGGTTGGGCGGCAACGACATAATAACGCCGCTGATCATTGTGGAGAGAAGAAAAATCTCCTACGGCGCGACCGGTGCTCCAACGCGTCGTGCCACCTAATGCCCAATAGAAAAACAATCATTACCCTGACCGCGCAACGGTCGCCGCCGCCGCACCGTCTATAAATCACCAATATCATTATTGTCCCATTGGAGAGATCGTACCGTTCCCTACCGAAATCGGTTGAAATTTCATATTGCGCGCGAAGAACACACCGAACGGTAGTCGGGTCGAAGTGAGCGGCATTGTGGTTCTCAATAGACGGCGGCGGCGGCGTGCTGTTGAATTCCGCAGCAGTTGTTATTATTAGCAAAGGTAATTGCGGTCGATATGCACTCCGTTGTTCGTTCTCTCGGTCTGACGCGCGGTGATTGGCCACGATTTATTAGCGCGGCATTAATAATTGAAAATCATTAGAACCCGTAATAGGTTGTTATTATTATAAACACATGTAATGGTGTACGCCGGCGTTATTATTTTTAAAACACCTCTTGCCCTCTCGCCCAGAGGTTCATAATGACTGACCGCGGTCAGCCGTCAGGTTGACAGACTCGTTTTCATCGATACGCTATTAATCCGGACCTATCATTATCTCTACCGTCTTATTTAGCCGTCCGGCAGGTTTTCCACGAAAATTATTTATACACGCGCACATTACAATACAATATCTGCCGGTTATCAGCCACCGACGTGCACTGTTATCGTTACCTATTAACCATCCGACGACAAGCTTTCGTTTCACGCCGCTGTACGTTAATGCGTTCCACCGTATTATGTTGTAACCGTGCGCGTAATGGACACGTCCACATAGTTCTAGTTAAAAAATAGTTCCAACCGAAAACCTGTTACGGGCTCGTTAATCGACGTCCCGAATCTGCCGTCGGTTCCGAGCGCTCGCGTTTCGTTGATCACTGCCAGTAGTCGCCCCTGTCAGTCATCAGTTTCCATAACAATCCCTTCTCGCGCAACTTCTCGGATTCCCAGGGAACACTTCAGTTCTGCAAACAGTTCCAGTGCGTGACGAATGGCCGGAATTGCATGTAAAGAGAATGTCACGATGTTGTTATTAAACGCGTCTGTATCGGACACGGTGAGCACATTTTTTAGAAAACGCGCCGAGCATTTGACCTTAACCGCAGACATTCATAACTGTCACGCCGTAAACGGTTCTGAAAAAACATTCCTTGCTTTTGATTAAACATTCGCGTGATGTTTAGGAAGTAACAACCCTGAGCATATATACTGGCGGCCAAAATTATTAGATCACCAAAGAAATTCGAATTAAAATTTCTGTCGATAATTTTTTGCAGGTGAATTATTTTTTCTTTGAATCTACAGCAATCATGTTTGTTAATATTATAATAATATTTAATAAACCAACAAGATATCAAATCTTATTTGAAAATAATCTTAAAGTTATTGTGTGATCTAATAATTTTGGCCGGCAGTATATTTTAAAAATCTAATGGTTTTATTGTATTTTTGAAATCGAAAATCACCCGTTAACTATTTGATATTTTTAACAACATTTGTGTGTACGGAGGTGCCAATAACATTGGAAGGTTGTTTGTTAGTCTTCGTGCGCTCAACTAAGAGCGACTAATTAACGAAGTTATAGTAATTAATCCGGTTGTTGTTTATTTCGTTAATGTCCAGCAGGTGCCGTTCAAAGCCTATCTCGGTCAAAGCATTAGCACGTCTGACTTTAATGGTCCAAACGATTTGTACCGAGACGTTTTCGGCACAACTTCGATGTAATAAATTGACAGTACACAAATTTTGACCGTATAAACGCACACGCGATGCCTCCGGTCATCACATCAAAAGGTTGATGTCATCATTATTCGTACGCCACTGATTATTCTCATAAAATAGGTCAATGGTCACAAGAGACGATTGAGTGTTAGACCTATACATCTTTTAAGTGCCATAAAAAAACAACTGCAGTTCCACTAAAACATTATGATACATAACTATAACCGCAGTTAAATATCGATGCGAACCTGCTAAATGTTGGCGCCTATGACTAAACGCTTGATAGACAACCGAATGGTCGTTTAGGCGCCGCCATCAGTATCGTTCATAGGAGTCTGCGGTGTGTGGAATACCCAAAATAGAATATGAATGTATAGTATTATGATAATACTAGGAATATAGTAAGAATGTGCGTGGGACGCGTAGTCAGATACCGAAGCGCATATAAGTAATGTATTCAAAGCCGACAGATTCGATTTATTAACAAAAAAATATTTGGTGCCTACAATGAATAAACTTGTATCTAACTTAAATAAAAAAAATAATTTAAATTATTCATCATGATATAATGAATTCCTAGATTTTCACACGCGAATAACGTTAAAAAAAATAAGCCTAGTTGTGTGGTCTTAAGTTTCACGACGACGCACGTGTACTATTATAGTGATTTTCAGAGTGGAATCAATTAGTGAAATGATTTTCAATTTCAATGACCACATACTGTGTTGTCGTTCTAAAGATAGCTCAATGCTTTCAAGGCCATTTGGCTTCCGAATTTTATGCGCGTTGTTCGCCGGGTTATCGACTTGCCATACTGCCAGTTATCATCTTGCAACGTCCGTGGTGTATGTTTTGCCTAAACAAAACGCCGGCCAATTTGCCAGAAATTCACCTTGTCAGACGTTTTTAATAACTTTTAAACCAAATAGTTCAATAGAGATGTACTAATTTATTTTTTTTTATTTGTAGGTTAACAAAAATAATCCAGAGTGCTTTCGTTCTATTAATGGTGAGTATCACATTTTTATTTTAGTTTTGATGAGTTATATCATATATATAAATTTAGACTATTGCTTTTTTATGTTAAATACGAATAGATTTTTAAAATAATAATTTATCTTGATATTTGTTAAATTAATGTAAAAAATATTAAAAAGCTATCTCATACAAGTTGGTCCATTGTGCACACCTCATACATGAATTGTCTTGGTTCGGTTTACACACCTAATTGTTATCACCGAAGTGTTATTACATTATAACTTTGAAATCTTGTTAGAGTATATAGTAATCATATTATTTTTTAAACTAATTGCTGTAAAACTGTTCAATTTCTTTTGTGATAATTTAAATTATATTATTAACATAGTTATATTGACAATATTTAATGAGTATTATTAATCTAAATTTACAATAAAAATCCACTAATTTGTTATTAAAATATTGTTTTTAAAAAGTGTTGGCTATAGAAATTTTCTTTTTTTTTTTTTGCAAATTTCATTATACGAGTATATTTAATTTAGAGAGATATTTCTTTTTATACGAATAAAAACATAAAGAAATTATCTCTTTAAATTGACATCGGTTATTTTATGAAGAATAATTTTGTCAAATTTTTATTAAAATTGAGATTCTTGATCATAGTAGTATTTCTTGGTGTAATTATCGTTTATTAAACATATAATATAATGCTGAACGACTCCATTATTATTTGATTCTATCTAATTATAATAGAATATTATACAAAAATTTCAAAAACAAAAGGTTCAAAAGTTATACATTTAACTATTCATAAAAATCATTTATAAACGCCCAAGTTTTCCCTTAAAAGAATGCCTGTAAACGTTAAAAATGTGAACGTATGCGCGTGTACGCCAGTTTTTAGAGAAAACGTGTGATGGCAATGACCTATTACCGTTAAACACTTTATCGGTATGGCAGCATATTAAATCCCATCGATAGTCTATATTATAAACGTTATTATATTCTAATACGTTTACAGATACCTGAATTTAACTCAATATGGACAACTCATTATAACATCGGTAATAGGTATTACTTTAATGTTTCAATAAACTGCAGAGGAGTCTACGCATTCCTTTGATGGATTTTTATTAATATTTTATTCCCCTTGGATTTTTTACAGACCAGTTAACTTTTAAACAGATTCAGTGTACGGTTTACCCAGGTCATAACCGGATAAGCGTCGGCGGCCCCTTTGACAAATTACACATTATACTATCTAGCGCCACCGACGATGAAAACTCGTCCCGACTATAATTGTTGATCATAAAAATCACATTAAAAATGTTTTAAAAACCCATACGAGAATGGGTTTTTAAGTAATACATTATTTTCATTGATAAGCTAATTAAAATATTACGACTGTTGAAAAAAATTCAATCGGATAAAAGTAGTCATAATATTATTTTTTGATAATTCTGTTGAACTGTTTATTTTAAAGCTAATCTCAGCAGTAAAATAGATACGATGCCCATAGGGTGTTTACAAACACTGATATCAATTAACGACTCGTTTTATTATTCACGACCACTTGTCATTTTGTCCAAAACAAGCTATATCAGTTCATATTTTACAAACCGTTTTTTAAACCGACTCATAAAACAGTGCAAACGAGACATTATGCCATAATCAGCTATTTGGATTTGCATTAATTTTACTATAATTCAAACAGTTGAATATATAAACGCATTCAAATATTATGACAGGTCCATCAGTCCAAAATAATATAAACTACTATGTACAGATATTTATCAGAATATGATAAATATTATTATAGTAAAAATATTATTATCAAACGTATAAAATAATTAAATCAATTAGCAGTACTTAATCAAAGTACATTTTTTAATAGAGTAGTTTAATGTGTCTCATTCAGACTTCTTCATCAAATGTTATATTAGGTTTTCGTTTTGTAATGGTTTTTAGTTAATCTATTTTCAATTCAATTCAAATAAAATAAATATTTGTTAGTATTTTAACATAAACCAATAATATCTTTGGTATTGAGTTTAAATAGTTTCAAAACTATTAAATGTGGTATCGGCTTAACCGACTCGGCAAGTTCAAATTTCTACTGGAAACGCACCACGGGATCCGAGTAATCGTCGCCTACTAAATCGTTAGAAACACTTGAACCAAAGCCTTCGCTACATTGTTGTGGTAATTTACATTGATACTGTCTAGTTTAGATGACTGGAAGGTGTTTAACAATAATAATATTGACTAAAAATATGACAACATAATAAATTATACTTAATCCTCAAAGTGACGACCGACGATTCGGGGAAATTGAATTAAATACAACTATTACGGTTATTTGCCAGACAAAAAAAATTTATAGCTCTAAAACTTCAACCGGCAATACAAGAGGCATATGATTAGCAAAGCCATAAAAATAAATAAATAAATAAAACACCATGGGAACTCTCAAGACGGCGAGTGCACGTGGAATTCTAGAACTCATTAACGGCTAATGGAAAGTAGTATGAATTGGTCACCCGTTGGGGGGTAAAATAGTATACAAAGTCAACCAAAGTGCATGGAAACATGAAAATATATACTGTAATAAAAAAACATAAAAATTGTTAACTAATAAATAATTTTAGTGTAGTTAAAATTTCATTTTAAGTTTAAATTGTGTCCAAATATTTTTATTTTTTTACAAACTATTTTGAGGATCTAATGTCATATTTTACAAATATTCAGGGTGGCCCACCACTCACTGACAATTTAAATAACTTTTGATCCAGCTAATATTTTTAGCTGATTTTTTTTTTAAACATTAGTTAGACGTTAGGTCTATAGCTATATCTCAATAATTAATTTTTTTACATTTTATTAAAAATATTAATTATTTTTAAATTTTAAATAAAATGTAAAAAAAACAGAAGAAAACGCTATCTTTTCATGATTACTGTGTATACATATGATGATAGTGTGTATACATTACAAACTTGGCATAAATACCATGATAAGAAATTAGATAAGACAATTATTACTTATCACTCTCATTCAAAAGTATATTGAAAAGATAGCGTTTTCTTCTGTCCTTTTCTCAATACGTATTTCAATGTTTAATACCGTAAAATAGTACATGAAAATTCAAATTTTCACAAACTTCAAAACGCTACAGAATATTTACTACTGAATATTAATAAGATATTTTTTTACTAAAATTTTTCTTAAATTCTACTCTACAAAATAGCTATCTTAGATTTTTTTTTTACATTTTATTTAAAATTTAAAAATAATTAATATTTTTAATAAAATGTAAAAAAATTAATTATTGAGATATAGCTATAGACCTAACGTATAACTATTATTTAAAAAAAAAATCAACTAAAAATATTAACTGGATCAAAAGTTATTTAAGTTGTCAGTGAGTGGTGGGCCACCCTGTATACTACGGAAAATAACGTAGATACGTTTTTTTGTAGCCAAATAACTTAACCAAAAACAGTAAATATTCGGTAACAGTTTTAGTTTTGCAATAATTCACAATTTGTTATGTAAACTTTACTCGTTACACATTTTAGTTTCGACGTGAACCTGAGAAGGTATTAATTTTACAATGTGTTTTTTTTTTCATGTCTGATGCCACTTTTTTTCAGCTCTCACCGAATCGATTCCTTTCAACGATCCGTCAAAAGATCAAAAATCGTATATAATTGAAAACATTGCCCTTAAAAATTTCTAAAATTTCCCACGTTCCTTGTAAATGGACAAAATCTCCAAAAATTTACAATTTTTAAAATCGGCAAATGTTGACATTTTTTTCATTAAAACTGTCATAACATATTAAAAAACGAATAAATCAAAATACATTTTTCAAATAGAAACTTAAGGTATTTTTCTTTTATTTTATGTAATTTTTTTGAAAACCTGACTATTTACCTTTCCACGAGAGTGAATTCAAAATAGAAACGACCTATCTTCTATGAGCAAATGACTGCCGAAGTATATCATCTTCTATATCATAACACTTGTAATTAAGTTATAAATAAGGAAATAGGTGTCCATTTTGCTTTTGGAATAACCCACAAATTTCTTAAAATTAAACATTACCTTCAGTTTTGCATCGAAGCGTTTCTTATGATAGTGATTTTAATCACTGTTAGATATCATCCATATTTGTCCCAACTCTGTCACTTTATTGCGATCTCACTGTTTTACCTTTTTTTTTTTAATTAATCTTATATGTTAATCTATAGGAAATATATTATCTGGGTAAATAATTCTCTTTCGGTTGACTTCCTAAAAGAGTTATGCTATTCTACTGGTTTCGAAAAGACAGTTAATTATTTTATTTTGAAAATCGTATGAACTTATCACATTTGTTTATTGTTTGCAAAAAGTTATAGATCACACTAACTTGAATTTACAAAATTTGAATCATAAAAATTCTTACAGTTCAAAATAGTAAAAGAGAATGGTAAAAACGCTATTTTTTATTGCATCCAGTGTTTATAGCATTAAATATTTTTAATGTAAGAAAAATAAAACAAAGAACACGTATGGCGATAGAAATTAACATTCTTAATAATTTGAAAAATTGTCTTTGCATTCAGCTTGAGATCAATGTGCGTTTTGTGTTTCGAAAAAGAAACAGTACTTAATATGTAATCAATCAGTCCGTTGGGTTTAGATAATACGCATACCTATTTTACAACGCCTATGAATGCGTGTGACTGCGGCGCGACTGTGTAAGTGTGACGGTGCATTTTTCTTACCAATCTTGTAGTGCACGCGCTTCTCTCATTATCTTGAACCATGTTTTATTGCTGTTGTTGTTTGACACATGCGTATACACACGCATCATTTTTTTTATTTACACACCCATCGCACGTTTAGTACATGCAGCCAACCACGGTTAGTGTAAGTACATTTTCTCGGAAGTTTTATACAATTTTACAGAAAAAAATATGTCCACGATTTCCTACACTTGGATATTCTAATTATTAATTACCAAATTCAATTGAATGTGTTCTCCCTATCGAGCACATCTATGAACACAATAAATCTTGATTTATACGTTGGATCAAACCCGCGGAGCTTTGATGTAACTGACCTTTTGGTTAATTAATAATACGGTTGTATTAATTACAATCAAAATGAGAGAAGTTCGTTACTGTGTTATCTTGTACCTTCTTTTTAATAAAACAAGAACAGCAATGAAACGTCTAAGAAATAATTCTATTCCAAAACTGTATTTTAATTACTTTTTGCCGTTAATTCATTTACCGCTGGACGTTGAGGCGTGTTAAACGTTAAGTACCGTTGACGACGACCCTTAGCACTAAGGGCGTGTGCGACGGTTAAAAAAATTATCGGTTCATTTTATGATTAACCACTGACGCCTCCGACCAAAGAGAACATCCGGCCATCCTGTACGTATCGCATATTTTTCCTTACTGTAACAGTAAAATTTATTATTTAAAACATAACATATTGAAAATAATTTGTAAGAGTTCAAAAAAAGCCGCCGTCTAAAACTAATTAAATCGTCATAAACAAAAAAAAATATATTACGTTTTTATAACAATAATATAGTTTTCTAGTTTTTAAAAATCAATTGGGTCACGTGATGTGATTTTAATTATTAGAGTAATAAGCCGCTTTTTCTTTGGGCGCGCACGCAATCTAAAGAAATTCTTTATCGTTAAGACGGTTGACCTATTGGAACGAGTGAATCGTTTCAGTCGTTCATCTATCTTTCTCTTAGGTTCTTTTTCACATAGTTAATATACGCGTGTCGTACGACTATAGAGATAAAAAGCGAATGTATTCCACAGCAGAGTAAAACTGTTGTGATTAACAGACTGTGGTGCCTACAACATATTGGTCGTCTGTTTGAGCTGTAAGACGTTTGGTTAACGAGAAATTTTGTAGTAACTACAAATTATATCTTCATATTCAACCCGAGTGTTTTGATGGTTAAGAATATTATTATGTCTGCAGGTGATAGATTTGTTTTTATTGAAAACTGATTCATGAATAGCGAGTTTTCGTAAAGTGTGGCCACCACGTGCTTGGTCCGATCGCGTGAGAAACTTAATAACGTTCAAAATGATCACGTACCGACGGCGGCGTGACAGCAACTTGTAACTTCATCAATTTTATGTAGTCCGGTCGAAGGCAATATCTGCATTAGTATATCAAATCAAAAGTATAAGAAAACACTAGGCGCCAACATATTATATGGAACTTAACGGTTAAGAAATTCAATCTCGTGAGATAAACCGATTCCCGTGTATTCTTTGGGTAATAATAATCGAACAATTTCTAAACGCTAACAAGAAGATAACTTATTATTAAAAATTAATTGCTTCAAAATCAAGTTGGTTGCAGAATGTTTAGATTTCAACACGTTTAAAGTATTAACACTTGTGAAAGGAAAAGTGTTGAAATTCTCCGCATCTGGTCTGCATATATGATGATCTATAACCTAATCATCATTTCCTTAGAACTACAATTAGCATGTGCTTTTTTTATAATCTATGTATATTTCGCAGGTGGTGTTGTGCGACATTTGGAGGTGTGGCCCTGGTTATGGATTTGGGGTCCGACTGTACAATGACTGCAGCAGTCGAAATGTCAGGGTTGACTTCCGAGGACGAGTCCTCGCTGACGATGAGACATCCAACGCATTTCGTAAGTATAACATCGAACAATAAAAAATTATTAAATGTCGCTTAGTAGTTAGTCGAGTCATTTTATTTAGTGTGCACCTATTAACATCTTAGATGAATAGGTTCCCCATCGCCGATAACGTTGTCTTATATTTTTTCATTTTTATAACGCATCAAAGTGTTGTGAAATATTCGTATACATGGCGTTATAAATTTTGGATAAATGGGGCACACTTAAGATATCATTAGACTTGTAATTTGTTTCAAGTCAGATGCATATGAATTCTACGTGAGATGCGTTTTCGAATATTAATGGGTAAAGTTATCTTCGACGTGCACGTTTTGATTACTGAGACAACAACGCAGTGATACCTACTTCTCGTTTGTTTATGACTATTACTGTAAACGGTATCTATTCCAAGCGTATTATCGTCGTTTTTATAATTGACATCAAGTCGTTTTTGTCTTTGTTGAAACATGCGATTACTCCGGAATTTACTTTTTTGTGATAGTACTCGCACACGACGGTATACATTGTAATAATACACGGAACCGCACAATTAACATACCTAAGTGTGTTTGAATATGTTTGTTTGTTTAAATCTAAGCCAACACATCGGACGCTGAGTGTAACGAACTTGGTACGTAATTTTAGTTCCAAAGTTCTCAATAAGATTTTTTTATAAAATTTTTTGCTTTTATCGATAAACTAAATGAATCTATTGCAGTTAAAATTTTCTATCGAATTCTCATTGTTATTTGAAGTCAGAAAGCATTTACACTTTTTTTTTGAAACGTTACATCATTTTATATTTATCTTCTGTACACAAAGATAAACAAATAAAGCTTATTTGTATAATTATTTATTTATTTAGATTATTTATGTATATGCGTTTATGATTGAAATTCTTTTCCCGAATCCATAGTGCATTCCACCAACCGATCGTGACTTGAAATTTTAAGTAGTTCTGGTTGGGTCCTATAATTGTACGCTTAGGACTGACAATTATTATTATTGTATTATATAACTAGACGAAGTGCATGTGTGTGTGTGTGTGTAATATAAAAAGTATCCTGCGCTGGTCGTCGAGATGTGGCACGCTTAATTTATCCATATGGTCCGACTGTTAATGATTGATCACAGATTTATCATCGTTTGATCTTTACCACGGACCGTGTCCATTTGACGCTGCAAAACGACAAGACGTCGTCCCATCAAACATTTAAAAATTATAATTAGTCAGCAACTGAACTTTCCCTTCTGTATTCTATTTTTAGAGTTTATGACACGTTTTACTTGTTAATTATAAGTAACAAGATAAATTGAAAAATTTAGTATACTGGCAACGTATTAGGATACTATGATCACCTGAATCACACCTATGAAAATTACTTTTTCAACTCATTCGATTAAAAATTGTCAAAAAAATATATATCCAATTTCTGTCAATGATCACTTAATTAATAGAAATCATAGCAAATAGAAAGTTTATTGTTCAATTATTGGTTCTATAGATTATCTATTTTTATTTAATGAAATGTAGTTATGTTTAAAAACAATGTAATAAAAAAACGTCTACTGTCGGCGTCTTTCATTCGTATCAAAATAAAATTAATAATATAATTATTACAAATACAATGTTTTGTATAATTACACAAGTATCTAAATTTATTTTCAGAAAATCTGACTGTCAAATCTTTGGACTTCAGTGTTCGGCTGACTATATTCGCCGAGAAGTCACATCGATATTTGTGTTTCAATAACAAATGGTCTCTCGTTGGATCGGTAAGTAAAACTATCTACTAATCTAGTAAATGATTACGGGTACTTCTCTGAATATTTAGTTTATTTAAAATTCCAATATCTCCAAGTAACGTGTTACAAAAAAAGCGATAAACAATTCCTTTTGAGTACGCTTATCTATATTATTTGTTAAGTTAACAACTAGAGAACTTTAATTAAATTAACTTCCATATGACATTCATCATACCGTAATACAATACTATTTTTTCATTGTTCATTTGATTCAGTAAAAACAAACGATAATTTTCAAGAGTTAGTTCTATAACAACGTAGTTGTATTAATAGTGTATTTTAAATTCAATTTTATTTTTTGTGTTGAGATTTGCAGTAATACAATCCAAAAAATTAAATATCTCAAATTCGTATTTTTTTTTTATTTATATATTATCTATTTGATTGAAAACGTAGTCTATACGTCACTAGTTACAGTCTATAAATTAATAGTATGTTTTTTTAATAAATGCCTATGTACAGGTATCACTATTAGGTTACTCGAGCAAAATGTAAATTATAGTAAACTGTATTTATTTATACTGTATTTTTGGCGTATTAATGAAATGTAGGTAATCCTAGACATGAACTGACATCAATTAAATTCGTACTAAATATTGTTACAGTAAATGAGCTTTTCTGTGCGTGTTTCGCTTCATAATTTTATTAAAACATTTTTTAAATATTAGATTTCATCAGTAGATCTTTGTAAATTGTATCAATTATAGTTTGAATAAACCAAAGTATATCGTATTAAGTTCAAACTCCTAATTACTTAATTTTATTTGTTTATGTTTTTTAGAAACATTTTCGGGGTCCGATGTGTCTGTTCTACGAAGAGATGCTGTCTACCGGGTACACTCGATACAAGTCAGTTGCCGATCAATCTCGTTACATCGGGTTCAACCGCCGCGGTCGACCTATGCGAAAACATTCGTACCTCAACGATCCTCTCAATCGGTGTCTGAACTTCCTCAAGCTTGACACTAAGTTCGACATTGACGATCATAACCGGAAGGTTGCGTCGGGCAAAGGCGGTAAGCGTAATGGCATGGTAGCAAAAAAATTGGCGGTCAACAGTTACAATAATAGAAGACCACCAATCTCTGTTATGTTGACCTCGACGACCACCACAACAACCACCACCACCACCACCACCACAACTCCACCATCATCATTTGCCGAAAGACACAACAGAATAAGATTCAGACATCACCGACGTAACAGACACCACCCCGAAACCCTTCAGTCGCTAGGTCAAGACTAATATCATTATGTATAGTATTAAAAACAATATTACTATGATGAAAACGAAACCTCTATTGTTATTTTTTAACGTCGTTGTAATAATTTTAAATGTCATTATTATTCCTAGTAAGTAGATGTTCTCAGCACGGCTGGACGACGGGACCTCGAGTATTCTCGGCCTCAATTCCTACAGCCCAAAAGTCAACCCTTAGCTCCGCGTTTTCAATGCGACCGATAAAAATGGCCTTGGCTTTGAAGGTTTTGTTTGATTGCGTTTATAAATACGTTCATTGGCGTTGTACTGTTAGACAGCTGACGATCATAGTCTATTTATCATGTAAATAAATGATCGCACATAGAATTTTCAATAGGTTCGATGCTTCCTCGGAATGAAAACGCCAATTACCGAAAGGCGCATAAGGGTTGACTTTTCTGTAGAGATGTATACTTGATACAAGTGATCATTTTATACTATATTTTTCTTAAATATATTCTCTTATTTAAGGTTACTGTAATTTGGTGATCTTTATACCGTTTAATGCTGCCAGAATATTCGTTTTCTCAGTTTTCGCTCCATTCCCCACGTTTTTTGTGAATACACTTTTTTATTAACAATTTTTCTGTATCTAATAAAATAATTGGCAAACATTATTCATCATATGAATGTAACGTTTCGATGAGTATTAAAAAAATATAATTACTTTATTTTTAAAACTTAAGTCACATGCCGGTTTTATAAACTGTGTTCTTATTTTGTATCATAATAATGTAATAATTTGTATGAGATAATTATACGCAATCCTCATAGATTCAGAACGACCAGATAATGAAACTTGAATGTTTTTATATAAAATTGAAATGTTTAAATATGTTTTTTTTATCACTCAATGAATTGTTATTGAAGTTCATCGCACATCATTATTTTTTTATATTTTCACAAACCGATATTTTGTAAATTTTTTTTTTTTTAATTTTTTACGCATGAATATACTCAATCGGCCGTAGGATAATATCATCCCTAGGCTTGAGCTAACATTCCATTCATCATGTTACCAACTTACATTTAGGATTAGCACTAAAAATAATCTTTTAAACTATAAGAGATTCCATCGATATGGGCGCTGTTCATTACGTGACAAGAATGGTGGCGAATCCTCCACAAGCTATTTTTATTATTTTATTTTTATTATTATTACGATTAGAAATCTAATAACGTCTGTGTTAAGAATGCACTATTGAGGTGGCGGCAACAACATAAGACGATATTGTTTAAATTGTCACGAACAACAGTATAGTAATTATGTTTAGTACACGTTAAATCTAGTCAACCATTTTCTTTTCGTATAGTAATTTGATATTTAGAGATCAGACTTTTGAATATTAAACATTGTCATAGTAATCCCGTGTTAGAGTTTTTGTGCGTTTATGAGTGTGTGCGTTTGTGTGTGAATGTATGAATACATATTCTTATTCAAATCGATCCCCTTATATGAAGCCCTAAAATACAGTAATTATAATTAACAGTTATTCATACTTAATATACCGCAAAGTATTATAATAATAGTAAAAATTGATTTATAATTTATTATAATTTTATAATAATAGTTTGATGTGACTGTCATGTCAAAATAATTACTTGTAGGTTTTCTTGAAATTCGTTTAGTTTTTAATTTTAAATAAAAACAATTTAGTTTCGAGAAATAAAAATTGTTCATAAGACATTTTTTTCAATCTTTAATGAATCTCAATATAGGCTCATGCCATAAGAGCATCACATCAGTAAAATTTATGTTAAAAAAAAACTAGCTACATGGTAGTTATACCATTTTTCTTCCTCTCGCATTACTTTTACAACTTTTAATACATCACATCTTGAGTGTTAGGCTATTTCTTCTTTCATTACAATAAAATATCAAATAATAATAAATTCTATATATATTGTTTAGTGAGAGCTAAAATAAAGTCCAAAAAAGCCGAAGCAGCTTCAAGCTACGCCAGACTAATGGATAATTATACAAATTTCATTATGTGTTCAAGTATTTTTATTTTGCTTAGTATGTTTTATTAACGTTGACGTGATTATTGAAAAATAAAAACGATAGAAGTAATAAATATACATTGTTTAGATAAAAATAACATTCTGCCCAGAATGACTCAATAAATAATTCTTTAAGGTGGACGTTTTGATTATTATTGTTTTTCTTGTAAATAATGTTTATATATAATCACTACGTGTAAATACACAAAGAAGTTGTACCATTAGATGTCTTCTTGTTCCCCCCCATTTCCTCCTAACCACCCTCTTCATTATTTATTTATTTATTTATTTTCATTTTTGGTAATTTTCTTAGAAAATATCTTCAAAACAACAAAAAAAAAAAATTACATTCATTTATTTACTTATTCAATTTATAAACTCGGTATAAAAATAAGAATATTTGTACATTGACTTGATTGTTAACTCAGTACAAATATTTCTAATTTGATTTACTTTTATTTTAATATTTAGCTACGTCAAGTAAAAAATTCATTTACAGTAACGATGTACACGTTTTTTTTATTCATAAATCAACGCCTACAAATTTTTTCTAGTTTAATTTTTTTAGTATCATGGAATTATACACATAAAATAATACAAAATATTATATTTACATTTTTTAACAATAAGAAACAAACGTTATAGCTAAATGTCCACATACTTGTTATGTCATCTCAGTTTAAAAGCCAATATTTTATAACTATTACAAAATTTTGTTCGTTAAACGCGTGTTTAATGTTTTTCTGTTTGTCATAAAAATATTTATAAACCGCTGTAACTGTTTTTTTTTAATAAATTACAGTGTTAAACATAGTGTATTACACGAGTGGAATATTTATCGGAACATTTTATAAAATGTTTAACACCAATAGTTCTATTACCAGTCCCCTGCGTCCTGAAATGCATGTGTAATTTGTAGAACTAAAATTGATGTGCAACGCAAACAGAAAATTAACTATATGTATTAGTATGAAAAAATGTATAAGTTGTACTATGTCTTAATTACTATTTTAAAAAATAAAACTTATTAAAACCAACTAGATGTCTCGTTTTTTTAATTATACTCTTAATCGTGTTCAATATTTCATTTTGTTTACAATGATACATATACAATTTAAATTTACAGAAAATATGCATTTAAAGGATAAAAACGTTAAATGTGGATGAAAATAAATGTGTTTTTATTCAAAATTTGAGAATGTTGGTGTAATTCGATAAACAGAAAAATTGTATATTATATTGAAAAGTCCATTTCGTTTCGATATCTGTTCTTAAATTATAAGCTAACACTAGTTCAGTGATAAATCTAGAAAATAATGTACAATATTAAATTATTATGAAGTTTTACTATTAATTTCCAAGGCAATGTGCTAAAAATATTTAAATATAATAAAGACAAACTATTCATCATCACCGTAGCCTTAACTCCAACTATTTGGAGTTGGCTCTATCTTAATGCTCAGTTGGAATTATACACCGACTATCGACCTAACACAACCTCATTATGGCTAAAGGAATCAGTATGAAGGCAATGTGTGTGTCACTGTTGAAGTTATTGTATGGTCACCCATCCGAATATCAACGAAATTTATCCACTGTGCCCAAAACCTACCACGGGCGTGGTAACCAATACAAATTATAGTTATTTTAATTTAAGTAACCCTGAATTTAAATATAATATATGTTTTAATGATGATTTATTTTAGCTTATATTTAGCAAATGAATTTATTGATCCGTAAAACACGAATTAGTAATAATCAATTTTTATTTTGTCAATGCAAAGGTGAAGTATTTTATTAACGGTTGCCCATCTTGAAGTTATTGACCTAAATTTAATCGACATTCATAAAGCAATGGTCGTAATTATTTTCAATTGCCGGATGATTTGGTATGATAAAAAAATTAAATCGAGTTACCGCCCGGTCAATTTTATCTACAGGTCAGTTGAAGTAAATGCAATCCCTTTTTTCAAACCTAATACTATGTTTAATTATTTATAAAAAATATAGTTTTAAACTATTAATTGAATTAACGTGGTAATATGGACTGTGCAAAATAATGAAGTTGTGAACATCGTTATTTTTGTTACGATAGTTATACAATATAATAGATAAAAAATAAATTATAATTATCTTGTAGACATCAAAACCATAGAATTTATAATATCTATACGATTTTTACCATTCTGTATTACTTTTATATGGTACGAATTCATTTAGATAAAAATAATGTTAACTGAATTGATTTTTGCCACAAGCATGTAATGTAACAGTATAATTAGATAGCGATATTAAAACGTTTTTATTTACAATTAGACTATATTTTTCTGTATTAAACATAATAAATATTTCTATGCACCTAGTTCATATAATCCATATGTAACGTTGTTTATTTAAAAATATAAGTATATTTAAAACCATTTTATTTTTCATAGTGTTTTATGAACATTTTTCTACAATTGAGTAATATTTTGCAATTCATTTTGCTGTAAAAATAGATTTATCAAAATAGGTGTTATTAAAAAAATGAACAATATAATCATGTTCATATTTGTCAAGAAAGTTATAGGTATATTTTCCTATTTTATATTGAATAAACTGTAACTTCCTATTATTATTAATTTTATTAATGAGTAAAGTGAGCAAACAGTTCGAGTTTGATTCCTACGATATTAAAAATTTATCGAATAAGAACTAATTGTAGTTCAATTGTTATAATTGTAAGTAATTGTTGATATTAGTATATTTTTCAAACATATCATAAAAAAACATAAGTGAATATGCCTATAATTATTTATATTATGGTTATAAAACGTAAACCATTAGAAGTTTAAGAACACAATGGTAACAAGCGTATAAGTACATTCGGTACCTAACAATATTTACTGTATAATATTGTAGAAAAATTGTGTGTTAAGACGCTGACCCCAGGTTAATATTTTTTAACGCCAGTAAGCATCGTTTGCCGATTACAAACTCTTTAGTGTAATGTATTTTTCCCAACGTTAGTTGCACACATTCTGTGAACACATTCTTAACAAACAAACGTGACTTCGCGTTAAACACGGACGATTCAGTACGGTGACATAGTTTCCTTGACATGTTCAAGTGTGAAATCAATGTAAAGACAAAAAAATATATATAAAAAAAAAAGGAATAAAATAAATAAATACACTTGTCGATGGTGATAAACTGGACAGTTTTTAAGGGTTTTTACCTGCGGCACAAACATATTTTTGAAAGGACTTGTACAGTACACCTGCTCACCAGGTACGTCATGTTATAATATTATAAGTGTATTTCCTCAGTTACTAGTCCATGAGATGCTAAATTGTTTTGTGTGTTTTCTCATCCGGTTCATCTTATTTCTTTACGTCGGTACTTCGATAATACAATAATTCATTCCTCAGCAAAATTTCCATTCATACACAATTCCCACTACCCTTTCTATGCAGGATCCGGATTATGATTCTTTTTTTTTAGCAAATCTCTTAGGATTTGTAAACATCTGTGACGACACTTGGTCTAAAGATTGTTAACGATGATCACGTAAAAAAATGTGCTCACTGACGGAAAAATAAATAAAGATAATCATAACTAATAAGAATAGTTGATATTTATTTATGAAATTTTTTTTAAACATTTGAAATCGTATAACTAACAATTAATTTACTTAATATGAAAAGCTTATTTATGTAACATTGAAAATTAACCAATATAATGAGTTTTCATAAGCAAAGAATAATTTATCACCGAGGCAGTAGAAATATAAGGTAATACTAATAAAATATAGCGTGACTGGGGTATTGATAACTTTAACGCCTTTTAAGTGCATTTTATAGTACCCGTCGAATACGCAAGACAAGGTGAGTTCATTTAAGAAAAGAATAAAATAACATCTGAACAAGATTATTATTACTATGCTCGGGATATTTATTTAGGAAGTCAAATTATTTTACGACCTAGTTGTTTTATAGCGGTGCTTGTAGAAATTATATTATATTATGTACGTATTTACTGCACCAGGGTTTTGTTTATTATATATACATGTCCTGGACCCGTGCCGAAAAGACGACTACCCTGTACGTATAATATATGTTATACGATAAACGTGCACGTGTAGATTGCATCAAACGGTTTTAGTGATTAAAAAAAAAAAAGCGGTGGTAGATAATGAGTGGGACAAAACCGGCTGTAGACTTAAGCGACGTGAGTAGAGCACAGCGTCGAACCTTCACCTGCCAGCGCGTATAATAACTTACATCGTCTATAAAACCCCAAAAAGGTTCCGTATGAACAAAGCATAGTGACAACTTGTGTTTTTTCCATGTACATGTTGTGTCTTCTTCCAAGAATCCGACATTCTGCTTTTCATTAAGGATTGACCTTTTTATTTATTATTGTATTTTTTATTATTTGCGCAGCCTCAATATTCTGTTTGAATATATGACCAGTAATAACTCGCTTGTCGTCGTCGGCTCCACTGGTATCAGTTACGATCTTGGCGACAGTCTCAAAAATATTTCCCACAGTGCTACTAGGTAATACTGTCGTGGAACTGTTTATTATGTTATTCATTTTGATTGTTTTGAGGGTCTAAAACACCAAAGGCGTTTTATTACTGATAAATTTACTTAATTTGTGATGATTGTGATCTTAATGATTCAATTAAAAAAAAAAAAACAGCACAATGAGGTCGCGACACAGTTGAGAAAATTATATATGATATCAGACCGTAATTAACGTATCACGGAGAACGCTAATTTAACAGATTCTTGAAGTGATTCTGTTAAATTTCAAAATAATTTGTATATTTGGAAGTTACACTTGCTATGTATTAAATTTGTAAAAAATAAAAGTATTCAACACATTATAGTCAGATATTTTTCTGTCTTCATTATACGTCGTTATTACCTTGCCCATTATTTTTCTAAAAAATAAAGTTAAAATATAAGATATACATAGTAATTCACTGAAAATTACGCATGAACTTTAACTTGTAATATCACAAATAATTTCATTATTTTGAAGTTACTATGTAAAAACTGTACTGTTATTACAAATTATAATGAAAAGTTGTATTTTCAACTTATTAGTTAATATAAAATTTCATTAATCTTAAAGCAATAATTCGTTAGGTTAAAATATATTTTAAAATTTAGTATAACACAATACAGTTCAGTACTGTAAACAACTCTCAAAAACCTCAATATGATACAGGTTTTAACTCGTAAGACATGTCGAAAAGTTTTTATTTTGTAAAATTGCGAATTTTATTTACTTAAGCAATCGTTAATCTACTAATTGTCAAACGATTGTTCTATGAATCATTGGACAATTTTTTTTTTCTAATATTGTAGTACATATAAGAGCTCTAACTTGTTATAGGTTAAAACAGAGAATGTAAATTAACTATTTTTATTCTGTACATTTTTATAAAAAATTATTATTTAACGAAAACTTTTATATTATATAAAAAATTTAGGACACTTTTAATGCATTATATGCTTTATTATGTTTTTTGAACAAATGGTTTAGTACAAGTGTTAGAAGGATATAGGTATTTTGTAAATCGGCTATACATACTGCGTGTGATGTTAAAAGTGGATAGGAAAATGGGTAAGCCCCCGCTGTGTATGCAATATGCATTGCAAAGCGGTCCGTTATAAATAGTATTCAAAGAAAATAGGCGCTAAACATTTTTTTAGAGTAATAAAAATGATTTTTGAATTGATGTTTTATTTCAATAAAACAATAGCCGACGTTTTTTACAGACATATCGTTGTTACCACTCTCGTTCTGTTCCACTATACGAAATTTTATTGTTTTGTTTGGCCACCAATAGTTATTCATTATTTTATTATATTATACTATTTATTTTTGTTACCCGCTATGCGTAAGACTGACTATGCGTTTCAATATTTATTAACTAGATTTAACGACCATGTGTTTAATATAGTTAAATATAGTCAATGGTTTTGTAGTAAACTAATACAAAAAAAAACAATAGTTTATATCAAATTTTTGTATGATATATAAA